TGAGGCAAGTTTAACATACGGGCCACCAGGAGGCGATTGAATCTTGCGCAGTGTTTGCCCTGGAGGGTCTTCTGGGGAGTGAATGGAAAGTGGGGTGTGCCCCACGTATCTCTGGCTGCAGTGAAGCCATCGACCAGCCAGGTTCTACTGAATAATGGCCGGGACGCCATGAGAGTCAGGCCCCAAAACTCCTTGGGCTCTTGCACAAGGGATAGGTCATAAGAACATCAGAACGGCCGTACTGGGTCAGACCAAAGGTCCATCTAGCCCAGTATCCTGTCTGCCGACAGTGGCCAGCACCAGGTGCCCCAGAGAGGGTGGACCGAAGACAATGATCAAGCGATTTGTCTCCTGCCATCTCTCTCCAGCCTCTGACAAACAGAGGCCAAGGACACCATTTTATCCCCTGGCTAATAGCCTTTTATGGACCTAACCTCCATGAAATTATCTAGCTTCTCTTTAAACTCTGTTATAGTTCTAGCCTTCACAGCCTCCTCTGGCAAGGAGTTCCACAGGTTGACTGTGTGCTGTGTGAAGAAGAACTTTCTTTTCTTAGTTTTAAACCTGCTCCCCATTAATTTCATTTGGTGTCCTCTAGTTCTTCTATTTAGGGAACTAATAAATAACTTTTCTTTATCCTCTCCACACCACGCATGATTTTATAGACCTCTATCATATCCCCCCTCAGTCTCCTCGTTTCTAAACTGAAAAGTCCCAGTCGCTTTAACCTCTCCTCATATGGGTCGTGCCTTTTTGTCCCCCCATTGGGCTCGACAGCGTGACCGCTTTGCAGCAATGCCTCTTCCCACTCAAACCTGTGAGAGGAAAGCTTCCAGCCTGGTTGGCAGTGGGTGAGGCCGGTAGGTAGGCCTTTGCCCTGGCACGGCCACGAGGGCCACGGAGTCCTGACCCCGTGCGCCTCCATTTAACAGCTGAGGCCAAGAGAGGATGAGGGACAAACACCTGTCCAGGACGGTCTGGATAATACCGTGGCCTGCCGTGAGAGCCGGGGATGGGACTAGACGACCTCTTGAGGTTCCTTCCAGTCTGAGGATTCTATGATTTGCCCAGGGTCACGTGGCAGTGCCCGGATTCCAGCCCACGCTCTTAACCACGAGCGATGCCGCATGGAAAGGGGGGGGGGGAGACAGCAGATGCTCCAGGGTTCTCTGCCTCCTCGTGCAGGGAGTTTGTTGATAAATAAACTCATGACTCGGGTTGGGGGAGGGGGAATGGTCCCCTGGAGTCTCTGTTTGGGGGTTTCCACTAGGGAGGTAAAAGTGTAGTCGACTGGCCGATAAGTAAAAGCTTATAGGTTAAGGCTCTAGATGATGCCCATTTTCCTCCCCCACCCCCAACCTTGCCAGTACATTTTTTAGCAGGCTGGCCAGCAGCCCGGCTCAGTCCTGGCTTGCGCCGGGTCCGGGACCTACTCCCGCTGCAGCTCTGCATTTAAAATGTATTAGGAGGCGGGCGGGTGGGCAGCCTGGCTCAGTTCTGGCTCACGTTGGGTCCAGGAGATCAGACCCTCCCTAGACAGGGGCTTCTGCCACACCCCTCCTGCTGCCTCTTTATCAGAGGCAGCCGGACAGGGCGACAGGCAGCCGGTCTGCGGGGGAGCTGGTTTTCAAACTGGCTCCCCTCGCAGACCAGCTCCCGCCTGGCACCTCATGCTGCTGCCTCTGATACAGAGGCAGCAGTGCGGAGTGGCAGGGGGTTCCTTGGGAGTGGGGCTGGAGCGCACTGGCTGCCAGCCCTGGCCCCCCAGGAACTATAGAATCTTAGAGTAACCAATAAGAATTCATGAGGTTAATCGACTATTCGATGAACCGATATCTAACATCCCTAGTTCCCCCTTGTTAGCAGTCTGAATACCACACAGCCCTCTCACCAGCATGCAGGCAGCTGCTCCAGGACTAGGGGCGATGCAGGATCTCAGGCTGTTCCTGTACTTTTCCCATCCCCTTTAGAGCAAGAGGGGGCAGGTGAAAGTGATGCCAACCCAGGCCCCGCATCCCCAACACCATCCACCGGGTTTCTGCATCTTGCTGGGAGTAACTGGCTCGTGCCTGGCTGGCTGTGATGGGCCCTCGACAGTGTTACGAGCCCCCTCCTATGCAGGAGCTCTCAGCTGCCGTTCCAGCCTCTTTCTTCCTTCCTCCCACTGGGCCTAGGGAACAAGAATGATTAAAGATCTAGAGAACATGACCTATGAGGGAAGGCTGAAGGAATTGGGTTTGTTTAGTTTAGAAAAGAGAAGACTGAGGGGGGACATGAGAGCCGTTTTCAGGTATCTAAAAGGGAGTCATAAGGAGGGAGAAAACTTGTTCATCTTGGCCTCTGAGGCTAGAACAAGAAGCAATGGGCTTAAACTGCAGCAAGGGAGGTTTAGGTTGGACATTAGGAAAAAGTTCCCAACTGTCAGGGTAGTTAAACACTGGAATAAGTTGCCCAGGGAGGTTGTGGAATCTCCATCTCTGGAGATATTTAAGAACAGGTTAGATAAATGTCTATCAGGGATGGTCTAGACAGTACTGGGTCCTGCCATGAGGGCAGGGGACTGGACTCGATGACCTCTCGAGGTCCCTTCCAGTCCTAGTATTCTATGATTCTAACAAACCAGAGAGGGAGGCTGATTCTGCAGCTGATCCCCGTGGTGGGCGCAGAAGGATCGCAGGGCAGCGAGCCCTGGAACAGCTGGGCTTGGGAGCTCCTTGCTATTTACATTGCTGGTGAAGGGCGTTGAGGAAGGAGCGGTTCCCTCCCAGCGTGATGCGCGACAGCATTGAGGGCAGGTGGAGGCAGGGAGAAGAAAGAAGCAAGTGCTTTCTGGCCAGTGCATTGGTGCAAAGAACGCTCCGGGCGGAGGTGCAATTGAATTCCTAACTAGCCAGGTCGCGGCAGGCTGGGGCCCCTTTACAGAACGCTTCCCTGGATTGTCACATACTCTTCTGCAAAAGGGAAGGAAATGGCCTGTGACAACCCCCCTCCAGCCGCCTGCTGCCCACCAAGCTCCGGCGCAGCCCCAGTTTTATAGTAATGACGGGGGAACGCAAAGCGGGAGTGTTCTCCCATGGAGCCGGGGGAAATGCCGCAGCCGCACCAGCATTAAATCGCACTCAGCAGGGCAGGGGGTGGCTCAGGCATTGGCCATTGCAGAGCGTACCTGTCGGCCCTGGGTTGCTGGTTCTAGCCCACCTGATGGGGAGCTGTTTGCAGCCTGTGTGAGGAGTTGGGCCAGTCTCAGCCCCACTCCTCTGTGGACAGGGGCTTGTATGAAACAATCCTCCCAGCTGATCCTGACTGACAGCCTGCAGTGCTCTTTCGGTTTATGATTCATATTCAAGTAGCAAAATAATTCCCATGTATATTATGAGATATGTAATTCTGAAACTTTATAAACATTTTATAATATACTGCAGTGGTTACCAATTGCCGGTCCATGGACTGGTGCTGGGCCGTAAACTGCTGGCTGCTAGGCTGCGGTGGCTGTCAGAGCTGAAGCCAGCTGTTTGTGGGGGCTGGGGCACATTTTTGGTGGACCAGCAACATTTTATTTGCATATTTGTACTTTGCATAATGAATATGTGCATACGCAAATAGAATATTACTGGTTCTCCAAAAGTTTGTGAATGGGTTTGCCGGTCCGCTGCGCTAGGCAGGGGAAACTGCCAGCCAGGCCCCCTTTCCAAACTGCCAGCCAGGCCCCCCCCCCAGACTCTGCCCCCAGAACATTTAATGTGTGCATGCTGAGAGCAGAATGTTGCTGCCTCCGAGCGCCCGCCTTCCCTCCCCATGCTGGGGCGGGGCCTGGGCAGAAGGGATGGGGCTGGGGGCGGGGTGGGGTGCTTGTCTCCCCCAGCCCTACCTTCACCCGCCGCCCATGCTGGGACTGGTGGGTATGGAGGGGAGACAGGCGACGGAGTTATTTGTTTGGGAGAGATCAGACTTAGATTCTTGTGGAACCCAGCTCTCTGTTACCCTTGGGAACGGCCTGCGCTGTTTTCTGCGGGCAGATGCCCACGTGCCAGAAATGCTCCTGCAAACGACCCTCCATAACTCTAGGTGCAGATCGGACAAGTGCCTCTCCGAGGGCGCGCTGGGTGGAGTCGCGCCTCCCTCGCCCTGTGCTGGTGCATTCACCCTGGTGGCCCGTGCAGCACCGAGCAGGCTGCCGGCGCCCGCTTGTGAAGCCTTTTTGTAATAGAGATGCAGCTGGGCCCCCGAGGTTGGAAACCCAGCGGTGAGCTGTGGTGGGGGTCTGCAGCAAGGCACATGCGCTGGTCGCCTCTGCACCTTCCCCCAGCAGAGCCTGGTTTGCATTGCTCCTGGCACAGCCCAGACAGCACCATGCATAACAAAGCTCCTGCAACACACGCCGTTGCATCACATGCTGTATTATTATTCATCTGCCTGCCTGCATCCTTGGAGCCCCACTCTGCACCCCTTTGGGCCAGGCGCTGGGTGTACCCAGCAGGAAAGACCGTTCCTGTCCCGAACGGCTGGCAGTCTGCCCTCCGGAGGAGATTGCTGGTGGCGAGAGTGGCTGGGGGGAAGGGACAGGCTGGCAGGGGGTTTGCCGGGTGGGTACAGCACGCTGCAGTTATAGCGCCCTTGTGACGCAGCATCCTTCCCCCGGGCGGGAACATGCAGCGGGGGTGAGACCAACAAGCATGCTGTGGATCTGGATTCTTGTCCCTCTTCTCTCTCCCTCCTGCCGTGGGTCTGTGAGCTCCCATCCACGTACAGGGCCTGGTTTTGCGGCTGCTTCTGGGCAAAATGATAAGGAAAAGGCCCGTAGGAATGTGGGGCCGATCTCACAAAGCAGCTGGGGCAACATTACACGGGCGCTGCTGCTACCGACAGTAGGGCTCCCCCTTCCAGACCAGCCACCCGCCTCTCTTCCCTCTGCTCATCCCACGGCTGAGTTGTTTCCTCACGCTGGGGCGGCAGTCCATTCACCCCCTCCCCCTCTGTTTCTTGCTTCCACACCTCTGCAGGCTCGTCCCTGTGATCACTATGGCATTTACCACACCAGCCCCACGCTCGGCAGCCTTACCAAGCCAGTGGTGTTATGGACCCAGCAGGACGTGTGCAGGTGGCTAAAGAAACACTGTCCGCATAACTATCTCTTCTATGTGGAGGCCTTTTCCCATCACGCCATCACAGGTACAGTAGATGCTCCCTCTACAGCTGGTAGTAATTGAAAGATGCTGCTGACGAGGCAAGACTTTCCGGTGGTGGTTGCACCCAGCGGTGTGGTCTAGGTAACAGAATTAGCGGAATGGGATACGCTTCCCCCCCCCACAGCCTCTCCCTTGATACAGCTCAGGGCTCACCAGCCGCTAACACCTTCACCCTGCTCAGAGCTAGAGGGAGACTTCAGCCAAACCGCTAGACCTGCCATTGCATTTCTGGGGCCAGCGGGGCTCTGCACAAGCCCCCAGCTCCATGCATCCAGCCGGAGTCCTGGCCCAAGGTTGGAGGGTGCTCACTGTAATCTGCAGTGAGAACCAAGGCCACTGAACACCCCAGCTGACAGCCACATGCAAGTGAGTCTCTGCAGGTGCGGGGGGGAGATGTCTTGTACCAGACAGAGCTGTTCCATGAAGGCGTCGACAGCCCGGATTTAAACCTCAGCTACTTTTCATTATTTATTTTTTAAAGTTTCTCTCCCGTTTCCCTGCCCAGGTATCCCTGTGGAGAAGCAGCAGCTAAAAGTGACTCACTCTCCCATCCCAGACTGCTGGAACCTGCTCTAATCAGCTGAGTTTCTCCCTAGGCCGCTGTGATGGACCGGGCCAGGTCTGGGCACCACTGAGAGCGTCCGCTCAGGGCGAATTGCTCAAACTCAGGACTCTCTCTCGTCCCTGACTGGCGGCCCTTCCTAAATAGGCCACAAACCAGTCCCACCGAGCGCGTCAGCTGCCTGCCTGGCCAGCCAGAAGCCTCACAAGCAAAACCCCTCTGACACTCCAGCGCTCTCCGTGCCCCACCTGGCCCCGGGCCTGCCCACAGGTGAGGGGTTTTAGAACCCAATCCCCCAAACAAGTTCTGTCCGGTTCCAAGAAACCAGCCACAGATCCCAGGTCAATTTACACTCTGGATCTCAGCCACAAACCACGCCGAGCCAGTCCTTTAGAATCTACAATCTAAAGGTTTATTACTACAAAGGAAAAGCAAAAGAGTAAGGTTGTTAAAGTATCATCCATTACATGGATCGAATCTCCCAGTTCTCCATGCAGGCTTGCTGCAGAGATAGAATCATAGAATACTAGGACTGGAAGGGACCTCGAGAGGTCATCGAGTCCAGTCCCCTGCCCTCATGGCAGGACCAAGTACTGTCTAGACCATCCCTGATAGACATTATCTAACCTACTCTTAAATATCTCCACAGATGGGGATTCCACAACCTCCCTGAGCAATTTATTCCAGTGTTTGACCACCCTGACAGTGAGGAACTTTTTCCTAATGTCCAACCTAAATGACCCTTGCTGCAGTTTAAGCCCATTGCTTCTTGTTCTATCCCCAGAGGCCAAGATGAACAAGTTTTCTCCCATCTTCAGGTTTTAGATACCTGAAAATGGCTCTCATGTCGCCCCTCAATCTTCTCTTTTCTAATCTAAACAAACCCAGTTCCTTCAGTCTTCCCTCATAGGTCATGTTCTCTAAACCTTTAATCATTCTCGTTGCTCTTCTCTGGACCCTCTCCAATTTCTCCACATCTTTCTTGAAATGTGGCGCCCAGAACTGGACACAAGGCTCCAACTGAGGCCTGATCAGCGCAGAGTAGAGTGGAAGAATGACTCCTCGTGTCTTGCTCACAACACTCCTGTTAATGCCTCCCAGAATCACGTTTGCTTTTTTTGCAACAGCGTCACACTGTTGACTTGCATTTAGCTTGTGGTCCACTATGACCTCTAGATCCCTTTCTGCAGTATCCTTCCTAGGCAGTTGCTTCCCATTCTGTATGGCTACGTCTACATTGACCCCTATTACGGAATAGGGATGCAAATGTAGAACTTTGGAAGAGGCAAATGCGCGGGGGATTTAAATATCCCCCGCGGCATTTGCATTTTCATGGCCGCCGCTTTTTTCCGGCTTGGAGATAAGCCGGAGAAAAGCGTCCAGACTGGCGCGATCCTCCGGAATAAAGCCCTATTCCGGAGGATCTCTTATTCCTACTTGCCTTTTCCAAAGTTCTACATTAGCATGCCTATTTCGTAATAGGCGGCCAGTGTAGACACAGCCTATGTGTGAAACTGATTGTTCCTTCCTAAGTGTCATAACTGCTGGCTTAAAAAGTCTTTGGTGTGTATCCTATGTCAGGATGGGTCCACAGTTCTTTCCAGCTCATTGATCCCTGCACTCTTGCCTCTGGGATGAAGAGCTGAGCTGAGCACCTTGATGGAGTCGGCCACATGGCCTATTTATATCCCCCCGCCCCTCCTGGCTTCTTCCAAGCGGGAGAGAGTCACATGGCCAGTGGTCAGGTGTGTCTTTGACCTCCCAGAGGTCCGTTGTTCCCTGGAGCTTTGCTCATTAGCATGTCCATACATTCCTGGCCCATTGCTCTGCCTCAGACACAGGATCTTTCAGCATCAACACAGAGTACATATTTGTAACTCCACATGCAGACATTATACAGGTATATGAAGAGCATATACAGAATCCATAGACAATAAGCTTTGTTTGACACTCCCCTTTGCACCAACTTTTGGGGCAAACACCCCCCACCCCCCAGGGATGCAGCAGTGATCTGGCTGCTCCCCTTAAAATCCAGTAAAGTGACAGCCTCTGCTAACCAACACTGGATGGGAGCATCTTCGCCACAGTCTCTTTACACTCGAGAGTCCTGAGAAGGGCTGGGGGCTGAGTCAGGATGGGTGGCCCTGTGGCAACCTGTCCCAGCAGTGTTTTAAAATAAACTCTACAGCAAGATCTTGTCTCTGCATGTCTGTCTAGGCACCTAACGGTGACGTGGTGAAAGGCAGATCTTCCATTGTTCTTTGCAGGCACCCTGCAGGCACGGTGGTCCCAGAATATGAGAGTATTCTGGTGGGTAAGCTACTATCTTTTACTGAACCAGCTTCACTTGGAGAAAGAGGCAAGCTTTGCTTCGGGTCTGCGGAAGGAGCTCACTCCGTATCTAACCTCTATTCTCATCCTCAAATGAAACCTGCACAGCGCCTTCAAGAGACATACCTGGGAGTTGACAGTCGTAACTGTACGAGATGCTAAAAATCACAGACTCAGTAAAAGGCTCTGGGTTTACGGCTCCTTGTAACCATCAGTAAGGCGCTAACTCTCCGTTGCCCTGCAGCTGCAGGGATGCGAGCCGCCCACTTCATCTTGACTGGTCTTTGGCAACTCCTTAAAGTTCACAGTCTGCTCCACCTGTGACACGCCGCGTCCCTTTCCCAGACCTGAAGAATCGCTCTGTGTGATAGCTCTGCCTTTTTCACCCCGAAAGGTCGGGCCCGTAAAAGATATTCCTTCCCCCACCTTGTCTCGTTAGTAAAAACGTCAGGGCTTATTATTTGTACGACAGAATTGGACCGCTTCCAGGTTTGTTCCCAGCTCAGCCTTTAGGCAGCTGTAGGTTTGGTTCGAGAAGAGGAGACGGGTGGACAGAAGGCCGTCCTCTTTGGAATCCAGCTGCTTCCGAGTATCTGACTAACTCGGTTCTTCACTGTTGCATCTGAGCACCTCAGAATATTAAACCCAGTCTACAGATGCAGGACTGAGGCTACGTTCAGTTAAAAGACTTGCCCAAGAGTCTGGGGGGTCAGGAATTGAATCTTCCGTTATGCCCTTGTTCTTCCAATCTGCCTTGCTGAGTTTTGCTCTGCTCAGTGCAACACCTAAACGCAGCTTTTCTATTATTAACAAGGCACTTGAGCCTTGCCAAAAAACCTGGGAGTGACTGGAACAGTCATTAGAAATGCGGACAGGATTGAGGATTAAATATTGAACGAATTTTGCATTCCCCATCATCTTAATTTCCTACCTTGTCATTGGTAGCTGTTTGCATTGCATGCAGAAAGCTGGGAATAGGTTTGCCTCCATTCTATTGCAGCCAGGGAAGAGGCTGAAAATGCCATCCAAAGCTTTTCACCCCCTGAGATACTGGACCAGCGGGCAAATCTGAACATCAAATATGAACAAAAAGTGGAATTAAGAGGCTAAGGAATATTTGAAAAATATACATAGGGTGTGAATGGGACATTTTGCTCTGTTCTGCGTATTCAGATTCGGTTTACTATATAGGTTTAGATTGAGTTCAGATGCACCCACAAGCCAAATCTTGCCAAGGTGTTCTGTTAGCAATTAACAGCCCCAAAATCTCATCAGTTGTTCTCTCAAGAATTTTGACCCAAGCTGTTAGGAGTATCATAAAATCAGCTGGCTGAAAATCTTTTTAAAATAAAGGGGGTTTGCAAACCATTTTGAAATGTCTCAACTGCTTGTTTTGCAGCACTCAAAATAGACCTTTTTGTTGTTTGGGATTTTACATTTTTTTGGTTTTTGGAAAACACATTAATCTAGTTTCATCAAGCGCAGTTTTCAATACATACAAATATTTGGATAATGCTTTTGACAAAGTATTATGAAAAATGTGGCAAAGGAAGACAAGCGTATAAAAGTCATCAGCATTTAATTGATTGCTTTTATCTAAAAACGGCCTTTTTTTTTTGTTTAAAAAAATAAATGAAGCCAGCTCTGCTTCTGTCCTTCTTTTATGCATCTCGCAAGATGGAAATCTAGTGAGATCAGCAATAGTGAGACTTTCACCGTCTTGAGCAAAAATCTCATCAGAGCGACTGTTCTCCCCAGATTTCGCCACATCCAAATTGAAACCAGAAAATACTAGAAGCCTCTTACAGTTCTGGATCCAACCTAGAACCAAAGCTGTAGGCCAGGGGTGGCCAACCAGTGGTTCTAGGACCACATGTGGCTCTACAGGAGTTAATACGCGACTGCTTGCATAGGCACCAACTACGGGGCTGGAGCAACAAGCACCAGTTTTCCAGTGTGCCAGGATGTGCTCGCTGTTCAACTCCCCGCTCTGCCTAGGCCCTGCATCCACCCTACCTTTTTCCCCAAGACCCCCATGCCTTCCCAATCCCTCCCCTGAGCCTGCCACACCCTCGCTCCTCCTCCATTTCCCCAGAGCCTCCTGAATGCTACAGAACATCTGGGCGGGAGGCATGGGGAGGAGGAGCAGAACAGGCGCTGCTGATGTATTACGTGGTTCTTTGACAGTGTGCATTGGTGGGGTCTGGGATGGAGAAGGGAGCTTGGAGGAAGGGATTGGAGAGCAGGAAGGGGTATGGGATCTGGGAGGAAGTTTAGGCGAATGAAGGAGGGGGTTGTGACCTGGGGCAGGGGACTAGGGGACGGAAGGGGATAAAGGGGTTTGGGTTGTGGCCTGGGGCAGAGGACTGGGGTACAAAGTCCGGGAGGGGGAGATGGGTGCAGGAGTAGGGGGAGGAAGGGTCTGGAGTGCCAGAGGCAGGCTGTGGCTGGGAATCACCCAGGTAAGTGTCCGTGAACAGCCGCAAGCCTGGGGAGAGGGGTACTTCACATGCTGCCTCTTCTTCAAGCAGGCAATTCCCATTGGCTGGAAACTGGCCAATGGGAACTGCAAGATTGTGCTGGCGGTAGGGCAGGGCATGAAGTCTCTCCTCCCCTCCCCCAGCTTCACAGCTGTTTACAGACAGGGCCCCGCAGTGTGCAGGGGCAGGCAGGCAAGGAGCTGTGCCCAAGGGCCAGAACCAGTGGTATGGTGGGCCGGATCCAGCCCACAGGCCGTATTTTGCCCAGCCCTGCTACAGACGAAACTGTGCTCTGGCGTGCACACCCATGAACCTCATTCATTTCAGCGTGTGGCTACCTCCGCTTTACCGAAGGGGGACTCGGCTCAGCTGGCAACAGTTCTAGCTGTGCTGTCCCTGGGAATAACCACAAAGGTCAGGGCTCGTTAGCTTGTTACAGAAAGATAACCAACCCCAGCTCTTTCCCCGCTCCAGAAATAACACCAAAACGAAGCAATAACCTAGTTCAAGACATTTCATTATAGTAAAAGCCTGCAGTTCTCCAGCGGTTAAAAAGTGTTTGATCTTCCGCCTCCTTCTGCACAGTCTGCCCACGTTATGCAGGTATCAGTCTCCCCGCACATCTGGCCAGCTGTGATTGCTTACATGTGCATTCGCTACCTAGGTACCTGGTAGGGCCATCTCAATTACGCTTTTTTTCAGGTGTTGGACTGCAGCTGAGGATCCTAAAATAGTAAATCTGGGGCTCTTTGATCTAAAGAACAAAGGGATGTTTGTAGAGGAACATCAAGAAAGACCGCCGGCGAAGCTGCCGAATTAATATTGTCAAGTTTTCAATAGGCTAGCTGGGTGTCGGTAGGCAACAAAGTCTCAGAGGGAGAGCCGGGTTAGTCTGTAACTTTAAAAACAACGAGTAGTCTTCTGGCACTTTAGGGTACATCTACACTGCACGCTTATTTCAAAATAAGCTATTCCGGAAGAAATACTCCAAAATAGCTTATTTTGAAATAGCACGTCTACGCTACAGGGAAGCTCCAAAATTAGTCTGAGGGAGGCTCCCCTAATGTGGATGCGCTATCTCGATTTAGAGCCCCAGGAAGCACTGGGGCGTAATTCGTTTGAATGGCCCTGGTAGGAGCTGTTTCGAAATTGCAGCCATGGCGCGTCCACGCAACCGCTATTTCGAAACCGCTATTTCAGAAGAGGCGTTCTTCCTTGTGGAATGAGGCTTACAGACGTCGGAAGAAGCCGCCCGTTATTTGGAAATAACGGAATTGCTGTGGAGAAGCTCGCGTTTTTATTTCGGAATAACAGCCGTTACGCCGAAATAAGGCTGCTATGTAGGCGCACCCTTAGAGACTAACCAAAATGTATATACGGTATCATGTGCTTTTGGGGGCAAAACCCACTTCCTCAGATGAGGCAGTGGAAGACATGTCCTCTGCACGGGCGCGTCTGTCTGAGGGGAGGCTCAGGGAATGAATCCGGTCCCCACAAAGCAAACGCGACGGACTCGGTCCTGACTTTTTTCCCCTCCCGCTCCACACCTATACACTGGGCTGTCAGTGACAGGATCTTAGACTAGATTTGTTTTTCAAATGAAGTCACCTCCATGGCTATGTCTAGACTGCAGGCTTCTTTCGAAAGAGAAATCCGCTTTTTCGAAAGAGAGCACCCAGCGAGTCTGGATGCTCTCTTTCGAAGACGGCCTCTTTACATTGAAGAACGCCTTCTTTCGAAAGAGGAACTTTCGAAAGAAGGCGTTCTTCCTCGTAAATTGAGGTTTACCGCCATCGAAAGAAAAGCCGCGTTTTTTCGAAATAATTTCGAAAGAACGCGGCTTGAGTCTGGACGCAGGGGAAGTTTTTTCGGGAAAAGGCTACTTTTCCCGAAAAAACCCCTGAGTCTGGACACAGCCCCAGAAGCACTAGTCCTTAGCCTGCTTTGTGAGGCAGAGACAGCGAACGACATGCTGGGCCAGGGGAAGGCAGCGAAGGAGAAGGGAAGCTGTATGCCTTTGTCTCATGCCCTAGAGGAACAGCGCAGCACTAATGTAACAGCTCACCCCAGCCCTTGCATGGGAAATAAAGGCAGGATTAGTGAATGCGCTCTGGGAGACAAGGACAAAAGCTGTAAACTCCTCTCCCGATCGCCCCTGGACGGGAGGAGAGTGGCGGTGACTACAGGCGCTGATGGGAACGTTAATGTGTTCCGATGGGTGCTTCAAATGTCACTCGGCGAAGTGCCGGTGTAGCAGAGACCAGCGGCGCTGGAGCATTCAAACCAGTGTCGTGCTGCAGGAGATGGAGCTGCCACGGAGAAAGCTTCTGCCTTTAGGGACGGCGTGGGCTGAGGAGCAAGCACTTGACCCAAACTTCAGCACCAGGGCTCCCACCATGACAGTTTCGGACTGGCGTTGCTGGCGCGTGGTCCTTTTCGGAGGTGCCAGGGGGTGGTCGGGAACTGTTAGGCTCTGCTGGAGGTAGTCTGGCCCTTAGCAAGTAGGGTGAGGGACTAGATCTTTTGCTGAGAGACAGAAAAGGGTCCTAGCCTTGTGCGAGCCACTGGCAGCTGTGTGGTGGGGGAGCGTGGGGGTTCTCCTCTGGGGCAGGCTCACTAAGCCGACGCAGGGCGTGTCCCCACTGGGCGGTAGTGCACACTGACAGCTACAATGAATTCTACATTGAACTCACACACACACCCTTGCCGGGTACATGCATTTGCAGAAAAGCCCCTCCCCCGTTCCCGATTTTGCTTTTCGGGACCCCTGGAATGGACCCAGATACGGCCCCGGCTCCCGGACTCCTTTCCTGGGCAGGTCCCACTCGACAGGGACTCTGAGCCACAAGGCACTTACTGCAGTCCACAGACGCCCTTGTGACAGAGACCCAGCTGGGCAGGGCGAGTCCCCACAGGAAGGGAGTGGGGGCGCTTTGAACTCTGTCGCCCACGTGCAATTCAATGTACTGACGGTTTTACCGGAGCCGCGGTACGAGCCCGCCTGAGAACGTTCCCCGGCAGCCACCAACGCGACGTGTGGGCCGCTCGGCGTACTTCTGTGGCGGTGTACGGCGGCTGCTGAGGCGGTTGCACTGCTGCGGCAGGTGATGACTGCCGGAGGGAGCTGCTTTTGCCACCGTCTTCCCTCACGCCCCTTCTCCTCTTGCCTCCCTGATGAGCACAGTTCAGTTCTCGTTTGTTCTGCATTTTGGGGGTGAATTTTCAGGACCCCCCCTCCCCATTAGCAGATGCCTGGCTGGGCCCGGGGCTGTTCGGTGTTTGCAGTTTGATCCTCCGGCCCTCGCTCACGGGGCCCTTTGGAAGCCTGTTTGGATACCCGGCCCTCATTGTGCGGGGGCTCTTCCCAAAGGCTGCCTGTTGGAAGCTGGCTGGTTACCCCTTTAGACCCAAGCACTTGGCCAAACATTCAGGATCTTGTAAGCTAAGGAGAAGAAACTGGGGAGGGAATCAGGTGGTTCTCTGATGCAGTGCTGTTGTGTTGTAGAACATGTACAATGTCCCACTGCCTGAAGCACAGCAAGACTCAAACAACCAGAGACATTGTTCCAAGCCTCTTTCCAGCCAACACTGAGCCCAAAATCGCGCTCAGCTTTTCGCAGGGCCACGGTGCCGGTGCTTGTTCTGACACTGTCCTTGGCTTTCTCCTGCGTCTCTGGTCTTTTTCCTGTTTCACCCAGAGACACACCAGCTCCACCCATGAATGCCCCGGTCTTGGGTCTTGCCATGACCGTGTCCAGGGAAACTTCTTGGGTCTCATGGTGCAGCCTGTGCTCAAGCCTAGCCTGGTGCCGCAGCGGCTCCTGTTTTTTCAGCTGTCGAAGGAGCTGAGTGGCTTTCTTAGATCACACCTGGCAGCTGCTGCACACACCGACTCCAGCAACGTTTAACCTCAGCCTAGAGCCCCCAGCGCCTGCCCATGGAACCTGGCGGGCGTTCCTAGCCCCTGGCTTTCTGACGCGCTGGCCGTTTCCCTGCCGCTGTGAGTCAGAGCTGGGCTGCTCCAGGACACTGTGTCTCTGCTTGTGTTTGGCAGGTCGGGCGCTGCTGCGGCTGAACGCGGAGAAGCTGCAGCGCATGGGCATCGCTCACGAGTCTCAGCGGCAGGAGGTCCTCCAGCAAGTCCTGCAGCTCCAGGTGCGGGAAGAAGTCCGGAACCTACAGCTGCTCAGCCAAGGTAACTGGGAGCGCCAGGAGGGGGCTGTGAAGCTGCAGCAATGGAGCCTTCGGGGCCAGCCAGGATCCGTCCCTTGTTGTGCAGTCACTGGGCAAACGCCACTGTCCTTGAGGCTTGGGAGGGGGAAAGGGGCAGGTGGGTTGGGCCTGGCAATGGGTTGTGTCTGTAGGTCGCTGGTTCGACTCCAGCCCCTGTCGGCTCTGCCGGACGGTTGTTGGGTCCAATGGCTACGTGCAGGCCGTGGTTTGGAGGTGTCCTCTCCCTGGCGACAGGCGATCGCCTCCCCTGGCAGGTGCTTTCTGCCCCCAAGGTGTCCTGCCAGAGCAGGGCTCCACGCCATTGCCGAGCACAGCGGGAAGCTGGAGCTTAGCAGAGAGCGTCTGTCCGCTCCTCCCGCCAGCGGCACGTTTCCTTCCCGATGCTGAGCAGTAGGAACCGTTCACCCTGCCGGGGAGGAAAAGCTAAGGCCACCCCGGCTACACGACAGAGCCCATCCATCGTGGGTTTCCCCTGACGCGGGCCAGGCATCGTTCCCTTCACCACGGGGTCTTAGACCCGAACCCGCAGCCATGGACCTGTGTGGTATCTCAGCCTGCTTTCGTGGGCAGTGAGGCGTGTAGGCAAAGGCAGGCACAGCCTTCCCAAAACTGCTACAAGGCTTCCCTGGTCACTGAGAAGGCTCGTGGCCCAGCAGCCCAGCTTCCCCAGTCACCAGGGAGGGCTGAGGCCGGGGCTGCAGCACGGCAGCCCCGGCCCTCCAGGGGACCAGGAAGGAGTGGGCGGGGCTTGGCTCCAGGGGTGTGGCCTTGAGCAGAAGGGGTGGGGCTGGGGCTTTCCTTCCCCAGCTGGGCCTTCACCTGCCGCCCAAGGGGAAGGAACAGAGGAGGCAACTTGTGGAACTGAATTCTCTTGACTCTGCTGCCTTTAGGGCCAGTGGCCTAGTGCCATCATATTCCCCTTGTAAGTCAGGACAAAGCCAAGGGTCCCCTCCGTTAGCACCAAGAGACAGCTAGCTCTCTGGGGTGCACAGGGCACGTGGGGCAGCTCTAATGGCGTTCTTAGCAGTGAGCGCTCCCTCTAAGACGTGGTCTGCACGAAAAAGGTGGGTCAGCCCGACAACGTGGCTCAGGGATGGGAAAATCATAGTAAAGCCGACCTAACCTAAATGGGATAGAAGGATCCTTCCGTTGACCTAGCCACAGGAAGGTGGATTACATCCTCCCATGGGAGAACCCTGCTGTCTACACTGAAACGCGACAGCGGGGCCCCTGAAGCTGTTCCGCCCTAAGCTGCTGCCGTGTGGACTGGGCGTTCATCCCCTTCCCTCTTTCCTCCTTCTTCCAGCTTCTTTTGGAAGTGTCTCCTAGTCGAGCCACCTGGTTGGCAGATCGTTCCAACACTGTGAACCGAGCACCTCTGGGATGAACTGTGGACTGCAGATCTGGAAACCTGACTCGCATGCTTGGACTATGAAGAGCCAGTTGCCAAACCATTCAAGGGTCTTCTCTCCCTCCTCCTTCCCTCCCTCGCTCTCACTCATTAAATGTTTTCTGTTCAGAGATCAGACATTTTCTCCGGCAGAGGTGGCTGACCATTACAGGCAAACTAGGAGAATGGTCACCCGGACATGGGACGTGCTGCTCTCTGGATCCAATCAACCACAGGGAGAAAGACCTCAAGATGAATGTGGTAGCTGGAGACTGTTAACATTTTAAGAGTGGAGTTGCAACACAGTTGTGCTTGGGACGAATCCAAACCATGCTACAGGGAAACCTCGTGTAACCCACTGACATGCTGTAACTGGGAGGCTGTGGAGGTTCCCAGACTCGATGGTGTCGGTACCTCGGCGCTTACTTGGGAATCTTTCATTCTCCCTTTAGACTGGGCTGTCTTCCCGGGTCCTAGGAGATAACGTGATCAGCAGCAAATGAGATGCCCGGACAAACCAGACTAACAAGGCAGAGCCGAGCCACTCAAGGTTGGCTTCGCTTTGTGACTTAAAACGAGAGCTGAGGCGCTGAAGCCAGAACGCGAACCGATAACGGGGAAAAGGCAGGATCCACACACTCGGCAAGGCCCCTGTGATCTCTAGGACGTGGTACCATTGGGTTGGCGTTGGTTCGTCCTCATGTATGGGCCGTAGAGGAACCATAATTAGTTAGTCTTTGGTTTGGCACCAACCCTCTGGGTTTTGTGCATTGCTGATGCAGCTGGAGCTGAGCACGAATGGGTCCTCTGCACAGCTCAGAAATGTGGCCAAGGCCGTGCCCGAACGTTCGTGCACAAACGTGCAAGGTCCTAACAGCTCACGCTGGCTGCATTTAAATGCAGTGGCACCTGCGGGGCCGGTGGGTTCAATGTCGGGATGTGGTTGGCTCGAGGGCTGCAAATTTAGGGCTCCTGGGTGCAATATTCCGTTGCTTCTGTGTCCTCTTAGCCCCTTCATCTGCAGAAATCCTGATAAAATCTCCATGTTGGTCTCTTTTTTTTTTCCCAACCTGGTTCATTTGCATGTCGAGCTTCCCCCGTGTTCTGTGTGGCGCTCTGAGTCTCCGTCTTGGTCTCCATGGCGTGATTCATACCAGCAGCCCTCTTTTGCCCCCACATCTAGCCCCTCCTTTCACACTCCGCCCTGAGAGCGCACGCATTGCTTCTAGGACCACTGGCGGGTGTTTCATCTTTCACAGACTGGCAGGCAGGTAAGAAACTGTGAAACATAAACCCTGGACTTTTTGTCTAGGCTTGTGCCTCTCTGGTGTGTCCCAGATGGTCCATTCTTCTGTAACTTTGTGACTAGGGCAAACCTGTGCACCTCCGTTGTCTTTTCCATCCAAGCGCAGATTTTTTTCCATCCCTGAGCAGAATAAATTTTTATATGCACCGAGGTAGGTGTGAGTGTGCACCACCAAGAGAAACACAAAACCTAGCTGTGGGTGTTCTGCTCATCAGCTGGGCGGCATTTGAATTTCTCCTGAACAACAGCATAAGTGCCCAGCTTACAGGGAACTCTGCCATGCACCCAGAAAGAAGTCAGAATTGTCATCAACCCCCAAGTGTCTGGGACCAGTGCTTCTCCATCTTCACTTGCAGTGCCCCTCAAATGTCTAAATCCAAACCCAAAAACAAACAAAACTCATCATCCCCCTGTCTTATCTAGATCCAGGCAAATTATTTGCTATGCATAATGTATTCTATGAACCTCGCTGGGTTTTTTCTCTTAACAATGTAACAGACTTTTTTGTTTTGTCCGAATTTGCCCATTCTTGGATATTACTCAGAAGATAGTTGTGTAAACATTTGGGGTGACGTAGAACGAGAACCAATCGTTGGAAGTAGAAGGTAGAAAAATCCAAACTGGAAACAAGATGGACAATGTTAATAGCAAGGGTACTTGACTTCTGAAATGGCTTACCAAAGGATACGATAAGTTCTCAGTCTCTTGAAGTATTTAAATCAAAATCGGGTGCCTTTCTCAACAAGATGCTGTAGTTTAACCACAAGTAATTAAACCAGATGGTGAAATAGTGCGGTCTGCGTTACACAAGCGGTCAGACTACATGTCTGTAGTATAATAGCCTTTGCTAGGCTTCAAATAGTCACATATCAGATCTCTGTGATTGGTCTCTTAAGTCACAGGGCATACTTGCTGCATCCTGATTGGATGATTCATGAGCTGGGCTCCTCGTTTGTGTGATTAGAAAACCCCCAAAATTCTCTGATTTAAAAAAAAAATACACGTTTTCTCACGCTCAAAATGAAATGCTGAACTTTAGTTTTCCGGGCACAGTAGACATAGTTATCAGTTGAACACAATCTTTTATTGATGTATTTACAATTTGTAAACAGCCCAAGCCCCGCCCATTCTCCTGATTATCTGAATTTTTGATGATTCAATCTGGCCCTGTCCCAATTAGATGAGATCATCGGGGTTCCACTGTAGATGGTTTTATTTAGTCACAAAATGTAAAAACTAAAATTTCTCTGTAAAAAATGCACATTCTGCCTTTTTCCAGGGCAAATGGATTTCTGTGCTCCCGCCTCGTGTGCCGCTTTCAGGATGGTTCTGTGAACTCTCCTGAGCTGGATGCTACTGAAAATACTCCCTCACAGGAGTAGCCATAATGATTTCCGTCTGTGAACGTCCTTGGGAATAAAATAGGCGGGCACACAGCATCCCACAAAGTGGCTAAAGCAGGCTGAGGACCTTGAAAGGATAGAATGTACCTAGATCAGGGGTGAGCAATCCATTTTCGCAGGGAGGGCCACTTAATGAATTTTGATACATAGTCATCGGTCGGCTTCATCCCCGGAAGGGATGGCGCCTGTGACAGAAGGGGTAGGATTGAGGACTAGTCTCCCCGCAGAGTTGTCTGGGACCGGAGGCTTTGAATTAAAAACACAGGAAAGCGCTTGTGGATCTGGGCCCTGCCAGGGTAACACCACAATCGGGAATCGGGAGCCGCTTAAATAGGAACTGGCTGCCTGAGCCGCCGCTTGGAAATTCAGTGGCATGAACAGCAGGACATAAATAGAAAGCACCCAGATGCAGTCCATGGGCCGGACCATAGGGTTAGGTGGGCCAAATCTAGCCCTTGGGCTACATTGTGCCCGGCCCTGACCTAGGTAATGCTTATACTGCAGTCACCCAGCTCCGGGCGAAAGCAAACAAAATTGCACTTGCGTCTTGTTGACTCAATGCAATGAGAGTTTTCTAGGAGACTATTTCTTCTCCTGAACATCCCAGCCCAAACTACTCAGAACTTCTGCAGCTTGAAAATAGTCTGTGGGCTTTCTAGTGATGTCTAGATGACCTCAAGGAAAGTGGTACACTTCAGAAGTGTCGCTCGGGAGGAGATGCAGGCAGGAGAAGGGGAATTGCAGCTTTCTCAGGCTCCTGCGAGGGGCAGGGATGGTTTGTGGGCACCTCAGAAGAAAGACATGGCTTTTAGTTTTTGACAGTGTTTAGGATCCAAAACGATGCCACACACATGCCTCAGAAAGGCGAATCAAGGGGCCTGTAATCTTTGCCACAGTGGGAGTGTGGGTGGGGGGGGAGGTGTCTTTTTGCTCTGAATTAACAGTTCCGTACCGCTAACAACACACGGGAAAGGAAAGGCCTTTAGCTCGAGCAGAAGCCGCATTTCCAAAATGAATGTATCAGTTTGCAAAGAGACAGGCCAAAGCAAAATGGGTCGTCTTGTCTGGCCACAGGGAGCAGCCAGCTTTGTCTCTCTCTGTTCTTGATTTGTATGTGTTAGAGTCTGGAGTCTTAAGAAATAAAGCGGTGTTCCATTGCAGTCCTCCAGCGAGAATATTTCATGCAGGTTTTGTGGTTTAGCTCCATGTGGTGCCTACACTGCCGAGGGACAGCCAGCAGCTGAGAACATGTATCCACCACCCAACTGCCTCTCCTGCAGAAGTGTCATTACAGACCATAGCACGGCAACAGCCAGACAAAACCAGCAATTTTAACTTCAGCTGAAACGTTTACATGAATTGGCTTCAGCTGTGTGCGCCCCTTTTGTGTTTGCTCCCTGTAGATAGTCTAGCAAATGAGTTTCCTGGCAGGACTGTTTGTGAATTTTCGGCAAATGTTGACTTTTCCGAGCTAGTGAGTTTCTGACTTGAATTTGCATCATCAACTTGACCGTCCGTGTATCCAGTCAGGGATCAGAAACGTATCATGTGACTTGGGCCCAATCAAAACCATTCCAATTGCTATTCCTCTCAATTCACAGCTCAGGCAAGAGCTAGAGATGAATTATTGGCGGAAATTCAGTGACTGATTCTGATTAGCAAATAAGCTGGAGAAAATCGCAATCTGCTCAGCCACAATTTGCACCGAGAAAACCAGGTGGACGTGATCAAATGAATGGTTTGTTATGAATGGTTTGCCCAGCCCTAGACTGTGATCACTTAGGGGGTGTCTAGAGGAGCCCACTTAAAACACAAACAATCCTGATAAAACTGACACAGTCGGCAGCACAGTAAGACCCCTAACGAGCCATGCACAAACTGTTGCCAATCTCTGAGGCCTGCGAGGCTCAGGGCTCCCCCCTGCAGCAGGGAGCTGTCGGACCAGCACCAGCTTCCTGATGCTGGTGGAGGGGGAGCCCAGAGGGCCAGATCCAGGAGAGCCGAGGGCCGGATCTGACCCCCGGGCCGTAGGTTCCCCATCCCGGTGGAGGAGCTCATCAGGGTCAGGGCCCAATTTTCTTCTGAGCTGATCTGAAGATTTTCTATATTGCTGCCCATCCCCCTGGTATCTGAGCATCTTCTACTGGCCTGCAAGGGAACTACAGTAATCTGATTTACACACAGGTAAGAGAACTGGGCCTCTTGACTGGCCTTTGTCTTTAATGGCCCCGTAGAGCGTCTCCGAAATGAGAGGTTGGAAAGGCCCTAGACACAAGGGTTTCCAAACTTTTCAGCATCATGCCCCCATTTTAATTTTTTAAAAACCCTCACGGCCCCCAGCCCCCCAAAAATAGCAGCAAAACTTGAGCAAAAAAAAAAAAAAAAAAGAAAGAGAGAGAGAGAGAAACTGACCAGGACAGCAAAACTTGATGTGGGGGAAGCTGGGTCGCCTCATGCCCCCGCTGGAATTTCTTCACGGCCCCCCAGTTTAGGAATCTATGCACTAGAGGCAAGAGACTGCGGGAACGGCCTGTTTCCAGCCTTCGTGGTTCCCTTGCAAATGGTGCAGAGAAGAGCAGAGTCCCCCCAAAAGGTTATTTAAACATCTCCTGGCTTTTTGGAAAGGGCAGACTCATGGCGGTTGGTGACGGGTTGGCAAGGCTGGTATTCGTCATGCGCGCATCGTCCGTCTGTCTCCTTCCAGCTCCTCCTCCTCCCCTCCCCTCCAGCAACGTGGGAGAATCCGAGAGCTCAGCTGCCAAGCCCGGCAGAAGGCTCCATGTACATGGGGGCCTGGTGCCATCCCACCAGCTCCTGGGATCCCCACACCTGTTCTGATCTGAGCTCCTGAAAGGGGCGGGGCCTCAGGTGGAAGGGGCGGGGCAAGGGGCAGCCAGCCCTGAGTGCTGTCTGGAGTGTATCCTGCTGGCTCCCAAGCAGCCTTCAGTGTCACCGTATTCCCCCCGCCCTTAGTGCTGCCTCCAGTGCATGGTGCAGGTCTCCGGAGGTGATGTAAAGGGCCGAGGGCTCTAGCTGCCATGGCCACGGTAACAGCAACAGGAGCCCTGGGCCTCTTGGAATCACCGAGACCCAGGGCAATTGGCCCATGTGCCCCCTGTGCCCCCCTCAGCCTACCCCGGGTGGCATGTCATCACTGGATCTGAGCCCCCCTGTCAGGTGACCCGGGGGGGCTCGGAGCAGGGAACACAAAGCTGAGTCTCTCAGGCCAAACTGCAGCATTTCAGGTGGGAGGAGGCCAGACCCGCCCAAGTCCAGTCCCCTTATCGCAGGAGCAGAGCGGGTATTCTGGTCTGAAGGGATCATCCCAGCTGGATCTGCCTCTCCCTGGCTCTTACACCCATTGTCCTCAAGGCCCTGCCCAGAGCCACGCCCTGTCCCAGTAAGACAGGGTCCCTGCTGGAGTATGGAACCGGCCGGCGCCTGTGGACTCGGTGTTTCCACGCTCATGCCTGAGCACGGTCAACGCTGGCTGACAACAGCCGGCCCTGAGTGTCAGAGCTGTGCCAACATGGCCATACGGCACTCCCCAGACCGTCAGACTCAGGTTTGTGGCTTAACATAAGAACAGCCAGACTGCGTCAGCCCAAAGGTCCATGTAGCCAGTGTCCTGTCTCCCCACAGCGGCCAGTGCCAGGTGCCCCAGAGGGAATGAACAGAACAGGGAATCATCCAGTGATCCCTCCCCTGTCACTCACTCCTGGCTTCTGACAAACAGAGGCTAGGGACACCATTCCTGCCCACCCTGGCTGATAGCCATGGATGGACCTAACCTCCATGAATGTATCTAGCTCTGTTTTGAACCCTGCTACAGTCCTGGCCTTCACCACCTCCTCTGGCGAGGAGTTCCACAGGTTGATTGCACTGGGCGAAGTTGCATCCACCCTGCAAAATGATTGGGCCTGGATTAAAGTCACAATGGGGCTTGGGCTCTGGCCCACCCCCTGAGCTGGGCACTAGGTTCTGGATCCTGGAGTCCAAGTCGGACTCTGAAGGCATTGGTTCAAACCTGGGGCCAAGTCCCAGCCCCCTCACACTGCTGCAAAGGACATTAAGCACACTCCTCTCAGAGGGGGGTTCGGCAGAGCCCCCAGCCCACGTACCCAGCAGCTGGACAGCAGGCTAGGCTTGCTCGCCTCCCAGTGTGGCATAGCGCTCCGGGGCTCCAGCCTGGCCAGCCAGCCATGCAGAAATACGTCCGATTAGCCGCTTTGTCTTCAACCGGAACTATCCGTTTCAAGCGTCCTCCGTGATTTCCTTCAGCTGTCTCTCGGCTCTGCCTCCCGGGGGCTTCACAGCAGCAATTTGCTATACTCGGTGTGAACTGTGGTCCCCCTCAGCCTGCTACGGTGTTTCAAATGAAGGGAGCTACCTGCACGGCTCCATGTGCATGGGGGCCTGGTGCCATCCCTCCAGCTCTGGGGGTCCCTACAGCTGTTCCTCCAACTCCCAGGTGCAGGGGCTCCAATAGCCTCCACAGGCTCCTGAGGAAGGTGTGGGGAGGGGCTGGCGACTCGGTGTGAACTGTGGTCCCCCTCAGCCTGCTACGGTGTTTCAAATGAAGGGAGCTACCTGCACGGCTCCATGTGCATGGGGGCCTGGTGCCATCCCTCCAGCTCTGGGGGTCCCTACAGCTGTTCCTCCAACTCCCAGGTGCAGGGGCTCCAATAGCCTCCACAGGCTCCTGAGGAAGGTGTGGGGAGGGGCTGGCGGTATGCTCCTGGATGGGGCGGGACCTCAGGTGGAAGGGGCGGGCAAGGGTCAGCCAGCTCAGAGTGCCGTCTGGAGCGCATCCTGCTGGCTCCCAAGCAGCCTTCAGTGTCACCGTATTCCCCCCGCCCTTAGCGCTGCCTACAGTGCATGGTGCAGGTCTCCAAAGGTGATTTAAAGGGCCCAGGGTTCCAGCTGCCATGGCCACGGTAACAGCAACAGGAGCCCTGGGCCTCTTGGAATCACCGAGACCCAGGACAACTGCCCCCTTTCCCCCTCCTTGAGTCCAGCTGTTGACTGAGAAGGGGCATGTTCTAAAAGAAGGAGGCTGTGTCTACGCTGGCGCGATCTTGCGCAAAAACTTGCTGCCTGTCTACACTGGCCGTGTGTTCTTGTGCAAGTACACTGACGCTCTACTGTATAAAATCAGGGCTTCTTGCAGAAGAACTATGATGCTCCCGCTCAGGAATAAGCCCTCTTGTGCAACTGTTCTTGCGCAAGAGGCCAGTGTAGACAGGCGACATGAATTTCTCGCACAAGAAAGCCCGATGGTTAAAATGGCCATCAGAGTTTTCTTGCACAAGAGAGTGTCTACACTGGCACGGATGTTCTTGTGCAAAAGCACATCTCTTGCGCAAAGGCACATGCCAGTGTAGACGCTCTCTTCTGGAAGAGTTCTTGCATGAGAACGCACCAGTGTAGACGTAGCCAGAAAGTTCTGGGGAGACCCACTCGGCACACGAACGGAGGAGTCCTCTGGCTTGCAGCAGCTTGTGTCCCACAGCAGAGGACAGGAGAGGTTTTCACAGAGAGAGGCAGGCGTAGGGAGAGCATCTCCTATGCTCTTTGCTGCACCCCGTGGCCCTAACCCCGGCTGTCTCCTAAACGCTGCCCAGGATGTCATGGCAATCGTGGGTTTGGCTAAGTATATTTAATATGGCTCAGAGGAGCTGGGGAGAGACAGGGTGTCTGCGAGTTTCTTCTCGTGCTCCGTTGCCTCTGATCCCTCTCCTGGGCTTTGAACGCTGGGGGAGGAGGTAGTTAATTGGGTTTGGGTTTCAGCAGGGAGTTAGACCAAGAGATGGGCAATGGCTGAAATGCTTCTTCTGGTGCCTGGCCTGGCGATCAGGAATAAAAACTGGTTCTTAACGCCAACGGCTTTGATGTGGCTCATTGTTTTGCCAGACGGTGCATGGATCTAAGAGGCCAAATTCTGCTCCTAGTTCCTCCTGGGTAATTCCAGTGATCTCTGTATTATGCTGCTGTCAGCCAGCAGTGTTTATCACTGTAGTCAGTGAAGTATGGCGTCTATCCTTCAGCGCGGAGGGGAAAGGAAGGGGTGCGCCCAGCGTAGCTCCGGCAAGAGCGGGCTGAGCTGCGGCAAAAGCCATCAGGGAGCTACTGAAAGAGCTGGCAGGGCCCCAGGTTGCAATAGGACAGGACCTGTAAGAAATGTACGTTTCTTTGACCCCCGAGTAAATGGTCTGAGGCTGCCCCAGGGACAAGTTGAGGCTCAGACCAACATAGGGAAATTTGGAGGCTGATCCAAACCAAAACACCACCCCCAGCCCTCCCTCTTTCTCCAAATGTTGGTTGGCTCCTGGTCCCATCCCAGGGCGGAGTTAATTTCCATGTGTTTATGATCACCTGGGATGGACAGGGAGGAAGCCGCCAGCCTGCGTGTGCATGGAATGGCTTTTCTGCCTGGCTGTTGGCAAAACCAAGCTGCAGTCTGAATTTCCT